GCATACCTGTAATAGCACTGATGCTGTGCCCAGAAAATGTGGGTCTGCTAAGGCTTGGGCCAGTGAGGAGGCTGGGCCCTGAGCTCCAAAACAACCAGGTCTTTGTTAGCGCAGCTGAATTATTTGCCCAGGCTGAGCTTGTTGGAGCCTGGAGTGAAAAATCAGTGAGCCAAAAAAGCCTGTATCCAGGGAGACGGGGAGGCCCCGAGCTGCGCAGGATCCGCATTGGCTGTGGAAGGCGCTGAGGAAGCGGCCTCCTCCGCTCCCACCTTTGCCTATAAGCAGGAGCTGTTTTGCTTCTTGGGGCTGGTCAGGCTCAGCCTTCATCTCTGTGAGAGAGCTGGAGCAACCACAGCATGGATCCTACATGCTTTTGCTTTCTGAACAAGCTGTACATCAGTTGGACCCCTGTGCTGGGGCTGATTTCTGACCTCCCTGTCCCAGAACACAGAGCCGGCCTACCCTCCACTCTGGGTGCTACCGACCCACTGTGAGGGGGAGAAACCTGCCCAGGGCAATGGAGCCTTTCAGGGTGACCTCAGGAGAGCAGAGAGGTTTGTAGGACTGCAGCAGTGGGATGTGGGTCTCTGCCTGCCTGCCCCTGGTGAGCCCAGAGAGCTGGTCCCTGAGCAGGCAGGGTGTATGGAGAGACACAGCTTGCTGGGGTGTAGGGAGAGAGCGCTGCGGGGCGGCTGTGGTACTCACTGGGACGATGCCTTCAGCATGTAGCTGGCCTCCCGGTCATCTGCGTTCTCCAGCAGCCTCAAGATGAAGACGTTGGCCAAGCTCTGCCCCTGGTCTTCCAACTCCTCCACCCGAAGAAGCCCGCGGGGAGCAGAGTCAAACACTTGGTACTTGTCCCTGGGAGAGGTTAGAGAGGAGATCAGGAAAAACTGCAGTTATCCCAGCAGCCTTTGGCTTCAGCCGCCTACAGCTGTGCTGAGGACACAGACAGGAAGTGCTGCATGGCAGGAGGGTAAGAAATGCCCTGCTGTGGGAAGGGATGAGTGGGTGGCTCTGAAAACCCACCGCAAGGCAAGAAAGCCTCTCCTTCCTCTGCCTTCGGCATCCCCCATGGCCTAGAACAAGTTGTGTGCTCTGCCTGGGCTCCCCACGTACCAAACACGGGTGGTGCTCCCTCAAAGGGGACTGTGAGGCTCAATTCATCCCTGTTTGTAAAATGCCTCTGTGTTTGCAGGATACAAGCTGCCGCAGAAGCAAAACATTTCCAGGCCTACAGACATCGCGGCGACGTGTTTATTAGCAACGTTGGGCTGGCGAGATGCTCCCTACCGGTGAGTCCGGTTAATGCTACAAAGAACACTCTGTTCTCTGGACCCTGCTGTGTTTCACTGGCGTCCAGTTGCACAAGACCCAGCCCTAAGCAGGATGACGCTCTCCTCCTCCCGAAGCAGAGTACACCATGTCAAACCTAACCGCTGGCTTCAGGCCTACATTTATGCCCCTCCCTGCTGCTCAAATTTAAGTTCAGAGGTTTAACTGACTACATCTGAGCTGTTTTTCAGGCAGCGATGAGTCAAAACTCACTTCTTGACAGGAAGGCAGGCCTCCTGGGTCAACCCACTGGTTGACGTGACACGGTTTCTGCAGAGCTGCAATGGTGGATACGTGCTCGCTTACCCTGCTGGGAGACCTGGCTTGGGATCTGCCTAAGCCCTGTTGGCCATCAGCTTTCGGGAGGAGAGAGCTGTGCCACCCATGAGGAGCCAGCTGTGTCCAAACACAAGGGGACTGCTGGATGGGGCTGTACTGGGCAGGCCAGGATGCCATCCTGTGCCTTGGGGACAGGATGCGGGCGCAGCATCGCAGCGTGGGTAAAGCCAGGGGCAAACAGGGCTAATGAAGTGCCCCACGTACTACCTGAGTTTTGCACTTACCCAGGAATTTGCCGGCAAATTACCAGCAGGTCATTGAAAAGGAACAAGTAGATTTCTCTGAAGAGCTTCTTGGTGCGAAGCGTTCGCGATGTCTTTGGCCCGTTCATTTGCTGCAGTTCCCCCTGCTTCAGCAGCCAGCGGGAGTGAGAGATGATGGGCACGGACTGGAAGTGAGGAAAAAGATGACAAAGATCAGGAGAGCAGCAAAAACCCCATCAGCTTATGATGTGATCAAGGGGCTGAGAGCAACAGAAGATGCTCCCATCAGCACAACTTGCACTGGGCAGAGCTGCAGCCCAGCACAGAGTGTGACAGAGCTCAGATGAGGACACAGCAGGGGCCCAGGAATGAACAAACACCCAGGGATGTGGATGCTGGAGTGCCAAGGGCTGGCTTTAAACAGCAGGCTACACCCTGCACAGCCTGATCCCATGTCTCATCACCTGGGCTGACCCTTTCTGACTTGCAAAAACACGTATTTGGCCTTTTAGCTACCAAAATAATCCAGGTTGAACAGGTTCTCACTGGTTGGGTCTGTACCAGCCAGGAGGAGATTTTGTGCACACAGCCACAACAGCACTTCTGCTGGAGTTTTACCATATGTTGTGTTAAAAACGAGAAACCCAGAACAACTTACATTAGAAGAGTGCCACCCTGCCAGTCAAATGACCAAAACACTGGAAAATACCTGCGTTAACCGCTACTTTTTCCACCCCTGCTCCCTTGCTGTGTTTGCTGTGTGTGTGGTGGCGCAGTCTCTTTCCACTCCTCACCAGAGGACCCTGCCTGCTCCAGTGCCCTGCTCAAGAGCTGCCCATCACTACAGCCCCAGCTTCACAAGTACATTAAAAGGTTGCTGGGAAGCTAAATGTGCTCCTTAGATTTTGTGAAGCAGATCAGACAGATCCAAGAAGCAGCACCTCCACAGCGCTCAAGAAAAGAGCTGACAACTTTGTACTCAGCACTGGAGCTCTGTGGCGTATATTAAATGAGATTTGGTCGGGCATCCCTAAATACTGATACAGTCATTTCCTGAGTGGAGCCAAAACGGATCATCAGCAGGTAATTAGACACTGTACATAATGCATAAATGCAAGGAAGAGTTAAAATGGTGGGACAGCCCTCATTTTGCTATTTTCTAGCCTTGAAGTGTTTTGCTTTGTAGCTTCCACCTTCCTTTAATGCCCGACACCTCTGGATGCTGTTGGTTTGCTGTCTGCAAGGGGTTCCCAGCCTGCACTTATACCTTGATCTTGAATTCCAGTTTCTTCTGGATGCTGATCATCTGCTCGGTTCGGCTCATCTTCCTGACGCCTTCATTGCAGGCTTTCACCACCTGGGAAAAGGAGAGCAGAAAGATTTTTCTCCCCTGGCCTTAAGTGCTGGTGGACAGCACAGAAAGGCCTGACTGTGGCAGGGTAAGTGCTCTAACAGGAATTCACCAAGTCAAGCTCTTCTATCAGCACTGTATTTGCATGAGAAAAAAAAAGAGGAGGGGGAAAACCAACAAAAACTGCTCAACCAACCAAAAAAACCTCCTAAACATCCAGAAGATGCTCTAGCTGGCGCTGACTATTAGAAGACACGCATCCAGGTACTGAACAAGAGAGTGCTAAGCAGCAAAGGGAACAGCTCATTTCCAGATCCCGACACACCATCTTCCTTGTCCCCAGCACTCAAAATGAGATACACACACACAGTATCGTCTTCGAGAGAAGAACAGAGACAAAGATCCTCGTTTCAAAGATGCAAATGCTGTGGTTCCAGATGCCAAGGCCATGAAACATCAAAAACTCAGACAGAGCCCAGCTGTGCTCCAAGTACAAACTTTTAACCACAACCAACGTGCAGGCACTACCCTGTTACAGGGACCTTAACCTAGATGCCACTGCCTATTTCATAAGGAGCAACTCTCTCGAGAGCTGGCTGGGTAGAAAAATTATGCTGGAGAACAAGCTCTGCTTTGTGCTCTGTTTCTGCTGCTCAAAATCCACCAGAATATCAGCAACTGAAACCATGATCAGCTCTTGCCTCTCAAATAGGATGCCCACAGAGAATATAAGTACGAGATGATCTCTGTTGTGATGCCTGTACCTAGGTGGATGTTAGGCATTTAAATTGAAATACTTACAGATAAGTAACCACACAAAGGGAACGATGAATTTGATTACATGAGTCACTGACAGCAGGATATAAAAAGAGCATTTTTCCATCAGCAGCTGTGTACTGCATACTCCAGGAACAGCTTACCTCGGGCTTCTGACCAATGGAAAAACAATGGGCTACCAGCTTCGTTATGATGGGTGCTGCAAATACTAATGAATGCTGAGCATTCCTCATCGCTAAGGTCCCTCTCTTTATTCCTAGCGATCTCCAAAGCGTACACTTTCTAGACTGGTTCAGGGGACATCGATGAGCCCATTTTGCTCGACTGTTTCAGTCAAAAGCTGCAGCCGTCCCCTCAGGCTGATGTTCTAGCACAGTTTGCAACCTCAAACCCTTATACTGACCTGCAGGATTCAAGAGATGTCCCAAGCTGCTGATGGAAAAGGGCTCAAAGGCTCTGTCCCAGCCCATGTCCCATCCATTTGGATACATGGTCTGGAGCTGGGATCGCCCTGTCTGACCCTGTCGAGAACAGCCCAGGAGGAAAACATCCCAATGCCCACCCAGTGGTTTGTACACAGCAATCCAGCACAACCAAACAGCACACGTCCCTGCCCGCTCCAGGGAAGAGGGCTAAAAGCAGGTTGTGAGTGCTTCATTAAGAAACTGCTATTCCAGGTCAGAGGAAGACATGCGCTGCATTGGAGGAAACCTGGCACAGTTGTACTCTGCTGCCTGTTGCAGCTAATTACATCTCTCAGTGGGATCCGTCACCTTCAGGTAACTGCGAAAACCATTTGTGTTCATGAAGACCCCAAGAGAAAACATTCTCTCTGCCCTTTCCCGCAGTGGAAACACGCACATCTGTTGTTAGCAAGGGACTCCTCATCACTGACATCTATGTGCTGCTGGATTAGAACGTCTCTGAGAGCAGGGAAGACTTGAGAAAAAGAAAATTACTCTTGAAACAGTGACAGGATTCAAAGGGACAGCTCCAGGAGTGAATACAGTTTGCAGATCTTCTATTTTGGGGAGGGGAATGAGCACAGTGGTATAATCTTAATGGCCTTCGGTTAGCTCATTCAAACTTACTGTTTCCAGCTCTTTATGTGCATCCAGGGCTGTGGTTTCCCTGTCAGACTTCTCTTCCACTTTCTTCAGGATGTTCTGGAGGGGAGGAAAGGCTGTGTTAACTCTGATCCCAGTCTGACAGCACAGAAAGGTCTTTGCTAGCCTCTGAATTATTTCTGGTCATCAGCCTAATTAAAGGTGACAGAGCACAGTGACTCTTAGTTCCTCTTTCTCATTAAAACCTGTTCCCATCCGACTTAATGTCTAAAAAAGTACAGTAGACTCTTAATTTATAAAAATAAATGGATATACAGCTAGAGCTGACACTAACAGACAGTGTGTATTGGTAATCCCAGTGGGATAAGCCCATTCGGGACTGAGCTGTTCCCTCATCCCTAAAGCATGTTCACTGTGCCATGGTGCAGGGTATTACACATGGGGCACTTTCATGTCCTGCAGCTGTGCTGTGCATATGTGTGTCAGCATCCCAACCATCAGGCAGCTGGGTTAATGGACCACTGCTACCGCTTCCAGCAGCTCAACAAAGTTCCTCCTCGACTCCTTCTTTTGCCCAGTAAAAGCTATTTGGCAAATACAACCCTAATTTGGGCACAGTCTCTGAGAGACTGGCATCCTTTGACAGTTGTTAACGTCTAACTCAGTCTACTTCATCCAGCTCTAGGGCTGATCGTGGCTGTATCTGAGCCTCATTCACAGCTGCTGGAAGGGAAAATCCCAGGAGTGATCCTGAAGACCTTTGGGAGAGGGAGAAGAGCAAAGCTCTACCTGCACCAGCAGCTTGAGCCGGGTGATCCTTTGAAATGGCAGGATCAGGAAGGAAGAAAAGGACAGGCCTTTGCACTTAGGATCCAGCTCCAGCTGTGAGATCACCTCCCGGAAAGCTGGCTTGTCCTGGCTGAGAGGAGAAAGAGAAGGGTGAGGGCTGCTCTGCCTGAGAGATGGCATCTGCCTGGCCTCTCCCAATAAGGGAGAATTGGGGAGGAGGGGAATGAATGCTTCTAGGTGTATTTTAGTTTAAATCCAGAACTATTTATAGTGTTGGGGGAGGGAAAAAATAGACTTTTAATGTACAAGCCATGGTGGCGTTCACATGTGTTAGCACATCTCGCTCAGCAGCATACGCTGTGCGAGTAGGTGTGTGTGAATGGGGTGTGTGTCCAAGTCGATGAGTCAGAGGCATAATTACATATTTTTACACAGTTGGAACTCTGTGACAAGGTGAAAATCATGCAGTCATAAGAACAAGATAAGCTGCAAAACAGCTCCAGCTTGGCTACTCCTGGCTGCTGAGCTGGAGGATGGAAATCATCACCCGGCCTGAGAAGGGCACAGGCCATGCCCAGGCCTTCCCTGCTGGTGTTGGCAGCAGACGAGGGCACTGCTGGGCCACGAACGCAGCTGCACGGAGCAGCCTCGCACACCCCAGCTGCCACAAGCAAAGGTAAAGCTTCCTGGCAACGGCGGGGCCCTGAAGAAGAGCTATGCTGCTGGAGTCCTGGCCAGCAGAAACAGCATGGGTGCACAGAGACCACTGACTGTGCCAAGCCTGTCTGTACCGTGTGAGGCTCACAAAATCCCAGAGCAGCCACTGTGTTTCTGCTGCAGCAGGTACCTGTGTGATGGTGCTGACTCGCCAGAGGCACAGCAGAACAGACCTGCATGCATCTGTGGAACAGCCAAATGCGGGAAACCGTGATGCACCTCAGGCTTTGAGTTAAGCCAAGGGCTGCCAAATTCTGGTGCTGGCTGGGAGCCTATGGGAGGGAGCCTGTTCCTTCCCATTTGCTTTATGAAAAAAAGTGCTGCCCTCTAAATTCACACCTAGGAATACCTCTGTCCTCAACAGGTCCTTTTCAAGCTCAAGTAATCCAGCCTATTGCTCTTCACTTCTGAGTGTTTAGCTAACAGCTCTACACCATTACACTGGCTACATGCTGCAGCTATATTGCTCACCTCTGACTAAAGGACACCCTGCAGTACTCTCCTTTTGGACACAACAGTTGACCAACCTCAACAGAGGCCCCTTCAAGTGTTTTTTGCCATAAAAGCTGGAGAGCAGATAAAGGAAAGGATTAGGGCTTGGTGTATGCCCCTGAACCAGCTGCTGCTCTGAGGAAATACAGTGCAGCACGTGCAATGGGCTGTCCTGAAAGAATCCAGGACAGTGTAACTGAAGAAAAAATTAATTCTCCTGCTCAAAGACAAGCTTGTAGGGCACTCTTTGTTTTGAGCTGGCATATGAGAATTCCTCCTGGACCAAAAGACGTGCTAAACTTGAAAAATACTGCAAAAATACCTTGGATTATATTCTCAGGCCTAGGTAACATCTGTGTGTGTAACACCAGAATGTACAGAAAATAACTTTGTTTTTCCCTTTTAAGAAAATTCTGTTGTTCTTATAAAAAAAATCTTATATTTGGGAAGGTCAAACACCTTGCTGAGAAGCCGAGGAAAAGCAGTGTGTGCTCTTGTCATCAGAGATCTGTGTTATACTCTTGGTCTTTCACTCTCTTGCCTCTACTTGTAGTTTCAATAATACACGCATTTCACAGGCGTATGTTCCCATGTACAACCATAAATATTTCCCGCAGCTGGGAACTGCTGGCTCTGAATTTACTTGGTATGTTACCTGCACGCTACACCACCCCACCCTTTTATAAACCCTTGTAATTGTTTTTTTCTTTTTATAGGCGCAGCGAAAACCCAGTGAGGTGGGAAATCCTGTTTCTTGTCCTATCTGGCCCTTCCTCATAAATACCAACATTACAGCTAAGGCTGTGGCCTGCATGATTTTGCAAAATGATTTAGCATCAAGCACTGGCACTCACAGAAGCTGCTTGTAAGCTCTCTCCTGGTAGGTCTGGTTGGAGACATAGGTGATGTAGACAGAGAAGTGATTAACCGTGTGCTGGTAGACGATATCGCACACGTCCGAGATGACGATGTTCTCCTCCACCCGCTGCTCCAGGTCCAACAGGAAGCTAGATGGGAAACCCAGCGCTCTTGTTAATTGAACTGTCCATCCTGGTCATGTCCAGAAGAAGCCCTTGGGGTTCAAAGCAATGAACGTGTCCACAGGCTCTTTGAAGAGACTGTGGGTAACGGGCTGCCCCAACCAGCTCCTCCACCCCTAAAATCAGCTAAAATCAGGTCAGCTAAAGCGATGCAGCAGTTGTCTTACCGCTCGCTGACGGCCATGACATCCAGGACGTTGGAGAAGAGGATGTGTGCCTCGGACTGGTGCAAGATCTTCTTCAGGCGCTCGTTCTCCATGAAGTGAGACACCAGCAGGTTCAGGCTCTTGTAGTACGAGGCTTCGGAAGTCACCAGCTCGAACATGGCCTGGGGAGAAAGCCGAAGAAATTGATCAGCAGGTACCTTCCACAGAGGCATTAATGGCAGTGTCTGTGCTGCACACAGCCATGGACCTTGCACCCAACCCCCAGGTAAGCCTGCAATGGCATTTGCCAAGTGTTACACTGGACAGTGGCTTGTACCCCTGTATCTCTTTTATCACTGGCTCGTATCTCTGCTCACTGTGGCTTGCTATGTCACCGAGGAGGGTCTCCTTGCACTCTCCATGCTCCTGTTTTAGGAGAGCCATGGTGTAGGGCTGGGCTGTGCAATCCTTGGGGCAGAGTTAGTGCAAACACACAGCTGTGGTGCTCCAAGCCACTCTGTGTTCCCTGACCCAAAGGAAATACAACTGTTAATGTCCACGTGAGCCTCCTGGTCAACCCCAGCCATGTGGTTTTCTGACCCAGCTCGCTATCACCATAAGCCATAAATAATCTCTAAATTGCAGCCCTTGCTTCTCTCCTTAAGAGAAGTCTCTGGTGCAAAGCTGGCTTTCTTAGGCCAGGGATGTTTTCTTGCAGAAAGCAAGAATGGATGGTTTGGTTCACGGATAAATCACAAGTTAATGAGATGAGAATGTCAAACCTTCCACCTGTCCCTTCCAGATATCCTGAGGATTGACACCACCAGTCATTTTGCACTGCAGCTTTCCAGATATTCCCAGCCAGGATGTTTTTTTCTGACAGGTTTGATTGCAGGATGGCCGTAAGAGCCAAGACCAAGATCTGCCACTATATCCCAGCCTTTAAACCCTCAGACAAATTGCTGAATCTAAAAGGTTGCTTCCTGATCTGCAGAAGCCTGTTTGGGATAATTAATTTGTGTACATTGGCCCTTCACCATAGTGGGGGGTGCTGGACCTGCATGGGCATGTGCAGCATGCAAGCCAGGCCAAGGAAATAATTAAATACACACTGAAAATATCCATGCACCGAGTTCGGATTTAAAGGAGATGCCAGGGAAGTAAAGAAATCTGCACTGATTGGGACAAGCTTCCAGAAGTTTCCACAGCATGGGTAAGGCACAAGTTTCTTAATTCACTTTGGAGATCCAGCTGGGTCTCTGCAGACCCAAAATATCCACTCCAAGGAGCCCAGGCTGCTGCCTCCCTTTTGAACGGTAAGAGTGAGCTGCAAGCCTCCCAGACTGGCACTAAACCTCCAACTATGCAGTGGAACGATGTGAGCTCTGTGGAATAATTGAGCTTTGCTAGCTCTAAGCAGTCCCTAGAAAAAACAACACGAGCTTCTGCTCTCAGAATTATAAAAACAATGAGGAAAAATGAACCAAATGCCAATTGGTGCAATATTACTTTCCTGAACCTATTTCTTGGAAACACGACCAACACCGTTCCATCAGTCCTGTGGGTCACTCACTTCATGAAATCTGACAGTCGTGTGTAAGCTACACTGATCATTTTCACTGCTTGTGTTTTAGCACAGAGACTGAGGAAGGAAAAAAGAAGTGAGCCTGAGGAAGAAGGAAAAGTAGAAGGTAAAAAAGGAGAAAAACTAGGAGTCACTAAATACAAGAGTAAGTAATCCTACAGGCTAAATTCCTATGGAGACAATGTGATGTTTGATTGCATAGATGGGAACCCTAGCCCTAGCAGGGCTGTTGTTCTGATGCTGCAGATGAGATTCGGGTCCTGATGCCACGGCATTGGCTGTGACCAGCTCTCAGGGCCAGTCCCACATCCACCTGCTAGAGATGCCAAGCCCGGCATGAGAGCTCTCTGGAGGAGGGCAGCTCTGTTGTATGGCCAGTTTAGAGGTTTGAAATCCCAGGTTTGCTCAAAGAAGGAAAGAAAATTAAATCTGATTCGGAGGTTTTTGTGAAAATGGAACAAGAGAGAGGCTGCCGAGCTGTCAAACACACTTTTCCACAGACAGGCTGTGTCAGCAGTGTGAAAACCAGGTTCAACTCCCTCTTTTGCTTGAGCAGAGAACATTTTCAGAGCAGTCACTCTCTGATCTGAATTCACACCATAACACAAGGTGCAGATAAGTCTGTCTCTGCTCCTCTTCTAACACCAAAGTGACCCGAATCCAAATAATCCCTGGCAAAAACTGTACTGAAGCTCATACATCTCAGCAAAAAGGGTTCAGCTCAAAGACTGAGAACACTTTCCTGAACTTTTTTATCAGTAAATTGTTTTGGGCATGTTCCACTCAGCTTGGAATCTCCCAAGACAGAAAATGAACAGAGTGCAGGAAAATCAATACGCTTAGCAAGCAGAAAAGGAGACAGTGAAGAAACTAGACAGGAACTGAACCAAGGATGAACTGAAGAGTAGAGAACTGAACTGAGGGGACTAAATGGGAGCCACTCCAGAAGAAGGCCACACCAATATCCAATTTAAGGTTTATGCTGAAAAGTTTCACTGATGAAGTGATCTCTGGATCATTGCCTCTTCAGAGCCGAGTACCTCGGTGACAGGATTTGTTGTAACCTAAATCACATGTGGCACAGAGTGTGTTTTCTCTCTAGCTCCTTCTGCTACAGACGTGTTGCCTGCCATTTCCTTCATGCTGGCTCCACGTCAGAACCCACACAGCATTTCTTTGGGTTTATTGTTCTTGCATCATTACATTTTCTATATAATTAAAGCCCTCAGTGATTCATGTTCTGCTGTGTTTGATGCTCAACACATGTCTGGACCATTAAAACTACCCTATCAATAACTGATAATTACTCCAGTAGCACATAATTCTCGTATTTCCCTGACCTCTGTGATCTGTAACGTGTTTTCTCCTTTTTCTTTTGTTTTTCCTTTTTCCTTCCCACATTTTTGGTGGCACTTCCAGTTGTTGCTTTACATCTTGCTGCTCTCCCATCTGCTTCAGATGAACAAGGCTGGGGTGACAGAGGCCGTCGCTGTCTGAATTCTGGTTGAGTTGATCATGCAGGGACATTTCTTTGCTGAAATTGCTACAGGGTGGATGTGGGTTGTTGGTGGTTTTTTTTTCTTTCTCCTTCCTGAAACTCCATCTTCTGGCTCATTTGTTCCCATGGGGACAATGACAAATTGCCTTCCATAACACTTCTCAAGCATCCATTGCTCTTCCAGACAAGTTTCTTGTTTTGATGCTTGAAAAACACCCGTGTCTTGTTTTTGATCCTGTACTGATAACCTGTTTAGCCATTTTCCGTGGCTGCCAGACCAGATTCCTCTTCTTGTTCCTGTCTGCTTCATTTTGCACATTACTGCAGATGAGCACCTTTTCCTCCGGCTGTTTAAGCCCTGCTCCATCGCAGCAAGGCTGAATTCAACACCATCTCTTTAAATCTGGGTGATTTCTCCAGCCCTCCTTGTTTTCTGTCCTTGACTCGTCTCACAAAGCAGATTCCTCACTTTATCTATTCAATGTTCAGCCAATTTCACAGCTTTCTGGCTTGGAGCAGTTTTATAATCTCTTACTGTGCTAATCCCAGAACAAACAGGAAGAAAATTTCAGCTGTGATAAACTAACACTGGGGAAAGCACAGCGCTTCTTTAAGGCAGAGTTGTCCCATCTCCATCTGCTTTATTTCTGTTGTTATTTAAGCAGAGAAAAGAAATTGGCACATTTAATGTTGGGGTTCAGCAATTTTTTTTTTCCTTAAAACATCTACAGGTACTGAACGTCACTCAGTGGAAATGGCAGGTTTGGAAATCTATAATGCAAACTTTTCAGTGAAACTGAAACTTCTCTGTGAAAGACTCTCTGTTTTGAAGCAGAAAGGAGAAGAAAAGCTTGTAGTTTTTCAGATGCCAGGCTGTGTTTGTAATCCTGGCAGTGAGAAGCACCCTGTTTTGCCAGGTAAATGGAACAAACCTGATATGGAAATAACCAGTGAAAAAGAACACGAAAAAGCAGCAAATAATTTTGGTCGCCTTCATCCACAGCCCTGCCACACCAACTGCCTGTTACAATCTGATGAGCCAGGGCTGAGCAGATGCACTGCCACAGCAATCCCACAGCATTAATCCTGGCGCAGGAGTACAGCAGGACTCAAGCCTTTGAAGACCCACTGCTTGTATTGCCACACACACCACACACCAAACAAGGCCGGTTCATCTCCGCTGCTGCGAATGCAGTGCTGTGCATTGACAAAGAGCACTCGTGCTCCCCACGCCATCCAAAATAGCAACCAGTTGTAAACTGTTGTGTGACTGGTGTTTTCATTAATTGCGGCACCTACCCCCACCTACTCCTTTCACTGCTTGATGCAGCCCTATAAATGAACAGGGTATGACTCCCAAACACTGCACCGGATGGTTAAAGTGCAAATATACCCGCCGTTATTTTTTACTGATTTGCATAAGACTCCAAGTAACAACATTTAAAAATAAGGCAGTTTACCAGTCTCCACCTCTTCCCTTTCCATTGATGCCATCATATTTAGAACAGTTTACAGGTAAAGGCTGAATTCTCTTAAGATTTCTGGTGGAAAGTGTGTATCCTGCTAGTAACTTCCCAAGGGGGTTAATGCGCACTGGGAACCATAGGCTTTGTTATCCATCTTCCTTTGTAAACTGCTCCTAACACTGACTCAGAAAAGGGAAGAGAAGTTCTTTTTTGCTACAGAAACGTCCATCAGCACTAGCACACAGAACAACTGGGTAGTTTCACGAAAATAGTGAGTGGTGCAACACAGGAAAGTACTCAGCAGGGCAAGGCCTCTCTGTGACTACTGTGAAGCTTTTAATTTTAAACTCTTGATCATTTGACTTAATTCACTCTCACTCTTTGAAGCAGCAACCCCTTCCCCCGTTACCTCCTGCAGCTTGATCTCATCTGGCTGGAGGATGCTGAGGACCCCGCTGCTCCGGATCTCGGGAAGATCCTGCCATAAGTTGAACCTGGAGTTGGAGTTCCTCAGCAAGCTGATTTGCGGCGGAGCTTTGCTTTCGGTTGTATTTGCAGGTTCTGCTTCAGACGGGGTTTCCTCACTGGGTGAGCTCTCCTCGGGGTCCGTCTGTGAATCCTGCAGCCGTCTGGTTTCAATCTCCTGGCGCGTAGATTTGTCTCGATATTCCTGATACAAGAGCCCTAGGAGGCAACATAAACAGGTCTGAGAGGTTACAACCAAACAAAAAAGTAGATAGAAATTTATTGTGAGAAAGGATACCTGTTTTACATCAGTTCACCTCAGCAGAGGGGAGAGAAATCCTCTCTGTGCTGAGCAAAAAAGCCAAATACACACACAGTTTTCCTATTTCAGCCAGAAGTGGCAACTATAAATGGAAGCCCATTTCTAAATCTAAAGTGCTGTCAACAATCTGCTCCCACAAAACTTTTAATAACACAGTCAGCTGAATCCATGGTCAACTGAAAGACATAAAAGAAGCAGTTTATTTGTCAGGTGAAGCACTGGGACAACAGCTACAGTTACTGGTTTGTTTTGGGATGAACTTTGTGGTCACCTTTGGACATGCTGCTTAATTTCCTTCTGTTTTCCTTCTCAGTGTCTGTGATGCCCGAAGATGCTAAATTAACATTCAAAGGGTACCTGAACGCCACAGCACTGAGGAAAAGCCTCTGGATTCACACCACCTTGCGGCACATCCATCACATGAGGCGTCTTCTGAGTTTCAATTACTGACTCAAGGAGCAGATGAAATTCTGCAGAATTTGCCCTCACTCCTGATTCTCAACTGACAGCACAATAAAGGTAGGAACCCTGAAATCTCTTGGCCATCCTCAGAAGACCTTGTGCCTCTCGTAGGGCTTGCTAACCATCCCATTTATCTCTGAGCCATCTACAGGACCCAGAGCATTAATTTCTTGTACATAAAATGTAATTTAGAAGATAGGAAAAGACAAGAGCGGATGAGCCTGCCCTGAGTCACTCTCCTCACTCACACAAATTGAAGGCGCGCAGTTTACATGATCTCCCTTGGTTTATACTTGAAGTGCAAAGCATAACGTGAATTAATAAAGAGGAAAGTCCTCGAGGTAAAAACAAACAAATCTACGTGATTTGTCTGAATCATTAAGGGTTAAAATATCTCTTATCACATGCACTGATGATATCGGCTCTCAGAAGCAGATTGTGTGTGTAATAAGGTGAGAAACAACTGGGTCAGGAGTTTGCCTGGGGAGGGCAGAAAGTTAGATGTTACTGCCTGCTAAATCTCTGGTTTAATACGGTTTTCACAAGGCTCCGTACCAGTTGCTGTTAAAAACGGTACCAGAAATGTGCTAGGGAAAAGCACAGGCACCAGGACAGCAGTACCGCAGTCTGTGAGCGTATCCTGTTCTCTGTTCTCCCTGGAAAGACGCTCAACACCGGTTTAAAATAGCAATACGGGTAGCTGTGCCTAGGAAACCGTACAGTCTTCTGCTGGCTTCCTACACGGCAACGAAGAGAGGAGACGTCCCTTGAAGTTCTGCATGCTGCTGCTGCTACTTATATAATTTCTCTCTGCGTCAGGCAGGCTTATATGACTTTCCTAAGTGTTTCTGCCTGTTATTCAGCACCAGGGAGGGTGCTAAGCATGTGGTGGGGTGGAAAGGCTCCTTCAGGAACGGAGCAGAAAGCCTGCTAAATCAGAACTGCTTTCAGGCCGTGCTTGAAGGCTCTGGTGCAGCAGGGCACTGGGTGCTTGCTGCCCCAACAACCTGCACACCGCTGGAAGTAACACCCTGCAGCAGTATGGCCTCAGGGGAAAATGTGCTGGGAGACTGGGAGCTGTTTTGGTCATATTGGAGATGATAATTCATACAGCCGTGTTGTGCTGGTGGGTTTGCCCTGCAGGTCACGAGCCATTAGGGATATTTTGTGTCCCTTGTGCGGAACTGGAGAGCAGCCCTTTAAAAATGATCCTTAAGACAAATTTCCCCTTGCTTTCAAGGAAATGAAATCCAAACAATGAAATTTGGTTTTCTTTCCAGGTTACCTGTCTGACCCACCAGAGACCTACGAAGCCTTCAGCTGCAGCAAAGGCAAATACAGACGCGGGGACATCTCACTTACTGAAGGCATCTACCACCAGAACTCGTACGGAGATGAGCAAGGTAACACATTTTAAGGAGGGAGGTGAACAGAGACTGCCTGAAGCTCTATCAGACAGCAATACAGGGAAGAAGCAAAGGGGATACCAGAAGAAAGACAAAAGACTGGTGGATGTTTAGGCAGAAGAAGGGTAGGAAGAAGCAAAGAGGGTTGTGCTAGCAAGGATAAAAGATACCCTCGCTATTTTGGTGTAAAAGCTCCATCCATATGTCCGTAAAGAGGTTACAATGGGTAGAGCAAAAGCTTAGATGAGGGAGGCAGAGAAGCCACGCAAAAGCCTCCTCTAGATGAAGCAGGAGATGGTCACGGCACAGGACAGGCCGTGTAATGGATGCAAGGTCAGGGAACAGGGTTTCGACATCTCGAAAGGAGAGCAATGCTTCTGGGAACTGCCTGAATGTGTAGAAAGAAGCTGAGATCAGTGGTTGAATGTGGTTTGGAAGATACGATCTTAGTAAATGCTTACGTTTAGTAAGGGAGTGCATACAAAATGGTAGAGACCTGTACAAGGTCCATCCATTGCTTAATGTCCCAACTGTCCCTCCTGTGACCTGGGTGAAGATTACGGTCAGAGCATGGGTTCGGTGCTGCCTGTTGATGTAACTGGTTAAGGCTGATCTTCCTACATCGTTTATACAGTACATAATAGGCCTTTCCCTTTTTGTTTATGCCATTTAATTTTGCTATCACAGTCTCCCTTTCCAGCTCTCTCAAAAACCGGGAGGGGAATTGAAAAACTAGTTACTAATTGTGGAAAATGCCTGCCTTGGAGAGCTCGCAGTGCTCTTAAACTAAACGTTATTACATCAAAAGCTATGTAAAATCTCAGGAGGTTCAGAGAGGTTTTCTCTGAAATTCTCTGCTCCAGTTTCAGGCAAAAAGTGCATCAATGCCTCAAAGGCAGGAGGGAGGGAAGGGAGTGAGTGTGCTCCAGCCATTTGAAATGATCTCTCTGTTGGGGATTAGTGTAGCATTGCTGGTTGTTAAAACCCTGTCTCCTCCGTCAAGGTGCAACAGACCTACTTGCAGTTACACTGACGCGTGCAGAGCTGTAGCGCAGCTTCCCTCTGATACACAGCACATTAAAATATATACGGCTAGAGCAACTGGGTTGCTTTGAAGTTCGGCTCCTGCTGGTTTTAGCTGCCTCTTAACAGCGCAGTCCCAGTAAAGTGACACATAGACATCTGTCTTGGGAGATTCGTAACTCTACAGCCAAAAGCAAGTAACCGATCTGTCAGCATCTGCGCAAATTGTTCACCACTTTCCTCCAGAAGGCCCCAGACTCAGCTGTTTTGTCTGAGAGATGCTGGCAAATTGCTGTTGGTTTCACACCAGCCTTTCTTCCCAGCACTGTCCCTGTGGCATCAGGTTCTCCATGAACCGGCTCTGCTTACCGTGACCTGACACCAAACTGCAGCCACTCAGGGAAGAGGTTTGCCTTGCCACTCCTGACAGTTATCTATCAGATTTTCCCATGCAAAGTGCTACATTCCTGCCCCTGAGATTCAAGTATCTTGCGGGTACATTTCCTGAAATTGAACAGAGCCGTTTAACAATGAAACTTCTTCATTCCCATCATAAAACCTGTCTGGAGATGGGGGTTAACTCTGCAGTTATCCAAATCTCCCTGAGGGATGCCACAATTCAGATGTGGGAAACCAAGAAAGAAGCTGTGAAGGTCTTCTCCGTATCCCACACACACACACAAAAATAAAAAAACAAAAACCAAAACAAAACCAAAAAAACCACAAGCTTCAAAGTGTAACAGTCACCCAGCCAACCTCAGCTCTGCTTTTACAGAGACCACAAGTGGCAAAACAACTTAGTCTGCTGCAAATGCTACACCGGTTCCTACAACAAATCCGTGCTGATCCCGCTGCATACACCTGACCTCCAACAGCGCAGCGGACCCCATACTTCAGTCTTACTCCTTTTTGAGTATGGAAAATCAGCTTTCAGTGGGAACTTGGCTGTAGCCTTAACGATTAACTGCACTGTAATTACAAGAAGTAATCATTAGTTACGGAGGTAAAGCTGCGTTAAATCAGCTGCGTTAAATCCCCTCCCAGGCAGCTGCAAACCTGATGCCTCTGAAGACGCCAAAATGCCACCGCTAAGGCCGCGGTGTTTGTTTTACACCGACTGCGAGAGGTTTTTCCCAGCAAGGACAGAGAGGTGGGTCCCAGCAAGGGCAGAGTTGGTTTCTGTTGGTTCGGGGGAACGGGACACGGTGGCTGGGCTGGGCTGAGGGGCCCGGCTCCCCTCCCAGGCAGCTGCAAACCTGATGCCTCTGAAGACGCCAAAATGCCACCGCTAAGGCCGCGGTGTTTGTTTTACACCGACTGCGAGAGGTTTTTCCCAGCAAGGACAGAGAGGTGGGTCCCAGCAAGGGCAGAGTTGGTTTCTGTTGGTTCGGGGGAACGGGACACGGTGGCTGGGCTGGGCTGAGGGGCCCGGCCCGGGGGACTGAGGCTTGGGACGGCTCCTTACCGATGTGCTCGATGAGGTTCCTCCAGGAATCGGCCGTCATGGGGTGGGCGGGCGGCGGCGCCTCGGCGGTGGCGGCGGG